GTTTGTGGCTCGGGTAAGGCTCCTGGCGCTTACCGGCTCCGGGACTACCCCGTGCCTTCTCTCGTTGTCGTTGCTCAGGTCAAAACGTGGTTTCAGAATCGCAGAGCCAAATGGAGGCGTCTAAAGCAGGTACGGGGATGTTTCCGTTTCTATAGAAATAAGTATTTTAATTGTCTTATCTTACGCCGTGCTCGCCTATTCCAGGTTGTATGCAGAAGTCATCTGAAAGGCTGTTTAACCTCTTTACCTTGATTAAAAAGACAAATAGTCATGCTGGAATCCATGAGGGCTCGTTCAGGCAGCACTAACGTTAAAAGCTCCTAATGTAGTTCCTATATCAATTATGCCCGGCTTTCACAGACCGCCTATTAAACTCCACGCTAATTGTTTTGTAAACCCATATGTTGTTTAGCCAATTAACGTGGAGAAGATAAGTAATTGTCAGTAAATTACTTGGGCAGTTGTTTTGGAGAAGAATATTTACTGGTCTTTTAAATCGCCCTCTCTTAATAAACACAAGTCGATTTATTCTGCGAACGTTGGGAGAGGCAGGTACAAACGCCTTGTTTGTTTTGAGGAGCCGCGCGGAAAATTGAGTAGCTTTTACTTTTCGTTTACAAATAGTTACAGCGTATGAGGCTGAGAGCTTGAAGCGGTTTCCCTTCCCTTAGAAATTGTGCTGCAGCAGATAAATCTTTTTTTACGGCCCAGAGGGCCCGATCCTGCCCGGCTCGGCCACATCGAGGCCCCTTGGCTCAAAGATCTGTGAAAAATCCCTGCATTGTGGCCCGAGTCTGTCTACAGTAAGTGTGACACAGGCGGCCGAGTTTTAGTGGTAAATCAGCCTTTAATATAAAAATAATAAGAAAACTAATCACAGTGCCACGCTCTAGATATATTTGTTCTGTGACCTTCCCCCGGGTTTAACCCGTGCTTCAGTTGATTTTTGAATAAAACCCCTTTACTCCGGCAAGAGGCGGGCTGGGTCCCCGGCGGTGCCTCCTCGACGGGGCCCGACCCGTGCCGCAGTGTCCGGAGAGCTCGCTTGGGATCTCGGCCATTTTAAGTCATTTCCTCCTTTTCATTCAGTCGCATCCATTTCTCCGAGCCCGCACGGTTATATCATGGGTACGTGTCTCTGCCTGCTTTCTCTTAAGAGTATCGTTTCATGCCCCCTTAGGGGACTGGGTTCCCCAGACGGCTGCCGACACAGGGCTACTCCTGCCTTCGGAAACGGAGTTTTGTTTTGGTTTGTTTTTAATGGTGGGTGTTTTAATGTTGAGTTTTAGCTTAATTAGTAATTTTTTCCCGTTTGCTTTCAGGCCACTGATAGATTCGGCCTCCCTCCTTTTGCGGTTGGGTGTAATTAAAGAAAGATCAGGGCAGGAGGAAGCTGTGTGTTGGTGTTTGTAGACTCATAATAAACATTTGCTTTGCTAAAGACAAAAGTTCAGAGGTTCCTGGGCTCTGGCAGCTCCTGACTCTTTTGAAGTGGCTGCGATAACCATCGCCAAGGAGCCCTATTCACGGCAGTGGCCTCTGTGGCTGCTGGGGAGTGGGATCAGAGCCGAGCCCCTGCGTGCGGCTGAGCCCTCGCCCAGCCCCATCCCACTCTGGCAGGTTTATAGGCAGGAGGCCTGGGGAGGTAGCGGGACACCTGCCTTTTCCAGCAAGAAACCCAAGGTGGTTTTCCCACCCAGCACAGCTGGAATTCCCAGGCCTCCTGGCTCCACGTCCCGTATTTCTGCATAAAGCAGGCTTCTTTCATTGCAGGAGAACCCCCAGGCCACCAAAAAAGAAGAAGCGGAAGGTGCTGACAGTCACAGTGACCAAAGGCTGGAGAGCTGCCCGACCCCCGAGCAGAAGGGTAAGGAGGTCTCCCTGGACGGCTCGCAGTACACCCCCTCGCCGGCCTCACAGGAGGACCTGGAGTCAGACGTCTCCGACGACTCTGATCAAGAGGTGGACATTGAAGGCGATAAAGGCTATTACAATCCTGCCCACTAATGGCCCCGTGCGGAGAGCGGACCCTAACTCGGCTTGCACTTTACCAGGGGCTGGTTTGGAAGAATATTATGCTACAGGAGAAAACTTTCACCGTTCCACTGAAAGAAAGAAAACCCGACACCAAATAGACTCGTTTTATAATAAGCAGAGAAAGAAAGATGTATTTTCCGCAAACAGTCCATTTTTGGCAGATCTCTAATTTGGTTAAAGGAACATGGTTTGTATTTAATTACTTGTAAGATATATTTGTACATTAATCGATGTCCTAACTGGAATACTATACTGCACCCTGTCCTTACTCACAGGGGGTCTGAATCAGCTGCTGGTGGTGATCAGGCAAAACTTCTCTCTAGCTAGTGTGGAAGTGAGTATGGATTGCAGGACTAAGCCCTTTGTATGTGTAAACAAATGTAGTTTAAATAGATTAATTTAAATGCCTTTTGCAAACAGAGAAACATGTTCTGTGAAATAGGGAGGGGTTTGACCATCCCGACAAGTGCCTTATGCTCACACCCTTTTACCTGCCGTGGTGCTCTCCACCGAGACATCCCTCCGTTCATCAGGTAGAATCTTTGGACAGATGCATTTTTGCTCTTGCGTGACACGAAATGTGCCTTCTCAGATTTTTGAGGACTTTGCCCTGCAATCTGGATGGTTCCATTTGCAGGAAAAAAAACCCATACTTTTCTCCTTGAAAATCTCTAGTGCTGTTTTTTACAGATTTTGTATTTGAGAAGAAAATGCGGGGAGTGATAGGGTCCTGCTGCAGGAGAGAAACTGTCATGAGCTGTGGAGGATAAGTGAGGCACACAGCCGTGGGAAGATAATGCCTATTGTATACATATCTGCTTCTGTACATACTAGTTTTCTTTAAAAGTCTTGCGGTTTTATACCTCACGTTGTTCATATTTTGTACATATTTGTTCAATGTTTAAAAAAAAAAAAAGCAAAACCTGGTATTTAATTTGTGATGGACTTGTCTGTGAAATAAAACTAAACTCTGCACCCCCTGCCACGCTGGCCGTCCAGTTTACTGGCAGGAGAAATCCCAAACCTCCCCCGCACCAGCAATGCCCCAGGCGTGTTGTAATCGGGCTTTTCCCTCCGGTACCGTGCCGGTCACCGGCCACCCTGCAGCCCTCTGGGCCACCTCGCGTTGCGGGGATCTCGCGTGGGCTCATTGCTTTTTTTTTTTTTGCTGTTTTTCAGCCTGCCACCCCGCGTTTCGGTTTTGCCGGTACCCGTGCCTCC